AGCGTCGGCCCGCAGACCAGAGAGTTCAGGGTTCACTTTCTGAAAGGGCACGTACCTCGGTTGCAGTTTGTCCCCGGCCCTGGTTGGCCGTGTGGGTGGCAACCAGTTGATGAGTGTCTCTCACATCAATGTTTATCTCTCTTTCTCTTTCCCCCTCTCTCTATCTCCCTCTGGCTCTATCTGAAGATAAATGCAAAAATGTTATCAGGTGAGGATAAAAAACAAAAAAAGGAGTAACTGGGATTCCACTTCTAGGAATATATAAGAAGCCTGAAACACCAATCAGAAAGAATATATGTACCCCTATGTTCATAGCAGCACTATTTACAATAGCTAAGATCTGGAAATAGCCCACGTGTCTATCAATAGATGAGTGGATAAAAAAGCTGTGGTACATATACACAATGAAATACTACGCAGCTGTAAGAAAGAAAGATCTCTTATCCTTTGAGATGACATGGAAGGACCTGGAGAGCATTATGCTAAAAGAAACAAGCCAATCAGAAAAAGACAAGTACTACATGATCTCACTTACTTGTGAAATATAATGAACAAAATAAGCTGATGAACAAAATAGACCCAGAGACATAGAGAGGAGTACTGTTGAGACTGACAAACCTCAGAGGAGGAGTTGAGGGGAGGGAAGAGATAAACCAAAGAACTTATATGCATGTATGCATAACCAATGGACATGGACAACAATGCTGGGGGTGGGGGGTGGGATGGGGAGGAGGGTGTCTAGGGGGGGGAAAGGAGAATCATCTGTAACAAAAATAAATTAATAAAAAAAATTGGGGAAAAAATAAAAATAAACCGAATAAACTGGGGGATCTGGCAACACCGGGCGCACAATCTGAGAGACAACCACCAGGGGGCGCTGTGCCGCGCCTGCCCCAGGGCCTCTGCGCCCGTCCGCCCTCCGGCCTGCAAGACTGTCACCCAGTCTGCAGCATTCTTCACCCACCCTGCTGGGCTCTGGGAGGCAGACACATCTGCAATCCATGAGCCGCACTGTGTGTGGCTCAAGTCCTAGTTCTCAGAGAGAAGTTCGTTTCAGCACGCCTGCCATGAGCTGGGCTCGGGGCTGCCACGCACTGCCCAGGTGAGTCATCCGACAAACATTCGTGCCCCCCGTCCCGCACCCCCCCGCCAGAAAGCAAGCCCCTCCAGGGCAGGACCCTACTCCGGCCACGGCTGTGTCCCCATTACCCGACACGGTTGACACCACACAGAAGGCCCCTGATGAATGTTGTTGAATGAACGACCATCTGGCACTCATGTGAAGACAAGACAGTGTCACTGTGCCCAAGATACTCTGCAACTAGGAAGCAGAAACGAGTCTGTCCGGCGCCTCTGGTAGGACAAATGGCACAGGAAACAATTATGTTGATGTTCAGAGTACTGGCAGAGGAGCCAGTCACCCATGGGAGGGGGACACAGACACAGTAGTGCCACCTGTTTGGGGATCAGTCTCAGGTCCCATCTGGGACAACCTGGCTGCAGTGTCCAACTGCTATTTTTGTGCCACTGGCCAAGCAAATAACATGTCAGAGCTCAGTGCCTATGCCCTGTGTCTCCCTGCCCCCCCCCACCGCCCCCCCGCCACAGCCAGAACGTGACATTACAGGAAAGAAAGACACCAGCCTCTGCCACCAGTCAGGAAGACTCCAGCCCCGGCACAGGAGAACGCGGCCCAGGGGTGAATCCCAGCAACCTGGCAGAAGCCCCAGGGTCACTGCACTGTGGCCGCTCACCCTCCACCGCCCACTGCATTCATTCATTGTTTCATTTGTTCAGTAGTTATTGAGCCTTACTGTGTGACAGACACTGCCCTACAGGACACCAGGTAGGAAAACTTGTCTTCAGTGGAAGACCAAATCAATGAATGGATGGATGGATTCACTCATTCAATGAATATGTACTGAGCTCCTTCTATATGTCAGACACTGTTCTAGGTCCTGGGCATATGGCAATACCTTAAAATAGACAAAGACACCTGTTGTACTCTAGTGGCTATGTAGTGAGGGTGGAGGGTACAGACAAACTCAGTAATTAAATTGTATATTAGATGATGATCAGTGCTATAGGAATAAGACTGGGAAGGAGAATGTGGGGTTCCAGAGTTGGGGGGGTGGGTTTTAAAAGGGTGATCAGGGAGGTCTCATTGAAGAGGTAACATCTGAGTAGAAACCCTCAGGAGGAAGAGAATAGGCCAGGTGACCGCTGTGGAAATCATGTTCCAGGAGAAGGAGTGGCCAGCCAAGCACCAAGGTGTGAAGTGCCTGAGGTTTTCCAGGGACAATGAAGCTGGGGGCAATAGTGAAGGGACAGTGGAAGGGTGTCAGCAGACAATTCTCGGGGGGGGGGTGCACCTCTTGTGAGCTTTTGTTTCAGAGTATCTCTTCAAGAAAGTCTGTGTTATGAAGAGCTTTGGAAAAGAGAGAAAAAGTGTCTCCCCCCGGGGCACACGGCAGACTTATTGGCCATTCAGTATAACAGAGACATGTCTCCTTCCAAGGCAAAGATTTGCTGGCAGCCCATTGTGGAAAGTGGGTTTCCTAAGCTCAGCGTTTCTTGTTTGTGACACACAACACCCACTGGCTTCACCTTCATGCTGTCCCAGGGGGCTCGGCAGGCAAGGGGAACCAAAAATCATGGTGTTCATGCTTCTGGTTGTGCTGTGAGCGATAAAGTCCTTTGTCTCTGACCCTAGAGTCTCATGTTTTCTGCCAGTGTCCTTAAAACTGTGGGAAGATAACTTAGTGGTTACAAGTAGGGACCAGACCAGAGACGAAGAGAATGAGGGAATGAATGAATTTGGATCGAGAGGGGCTATCTCCTTAAATGCAGAACATTCCCAATGGATGGCCCTCAGGGCAGGTGTGAATACACAGCTGGTCACTGCCCGAGGGTCAAGTAGGCCCCAGGACTGTCCACAGACCCATCGAGGCCGACGGAAGTGCCCTCACAGCTGTTGCTGTCCGTAAACTGACGCAGACCGCGTGGGAAGGCTTGCAGCCAGGGGAGGGCTGGCGTAAGCGGGACTAGAGGAGGATGCGAGAGGCTTGGCTCGGGGTCAGCGTCCCACAGTGAAGATCCAGGTTCTGACGATGGCGCCCATGCCAGCTCCGCGGCCCTCGTTGCTCGCTCCTAGGGCAGGCTGTTCAGGCAGAAGAGCCACCACCCAGACCTCCCTGTGGCCACCCCTTACGGACTAAAACCTGGAAGAAAGATGTGCACCTCTGCCTCCCTCATGACCTCCTGAACCACCGCTTCCCTGCTCCCCACGCCCATCCTTTCTTCTCCTCCCACCGCTGCGGCTTCGCACCCCAGGGCTTCGGGGGCAGATGCTGTTTCCCGGGCTCTGACCTTTTCTCTCTACTGAGACTGTCATGCTTGGCCGACAGCACACCTGGTCTCTGGGTTAGAGCATGTGATCCGTGGACTCACAGCGGGGAGAAGGGAGGAAATACAGATCGAGCGTTCTGAGCGGGTTCCCTCCACCCTCACCCCTCACCCACGAGGCCCACTTGGGCGTTCCAGATGCTGAGGGGTCAGGGAGGTGAGGGCCCGCTCCCTCCTGGCTGTCCACTGTGAATGGGGCAGGCCCGTTTCCTCCTCTAAGTCTGCCAATAGCTGGGAAGGAAACACCTGGAGGTAAAAGCCATTCTAGGGCGAGGGGAGAGCATTGTTCCCGGGGCGGGGGCGCACACAGACCCGGAGGCCTCAGCGGCGAGACAGCTAAGGCTGCAGCCCGGCATCCACGCCCTCCATGTCTGTCCAGAGACAGGGCTCACGGAGACATCAGAGGTGAGCGGCCGCCCTGGTGACAGGCTGGCGGCCCAGCGGCCTGGCAGGTGGCATTGGCGCTGGGCTGCCTGGGTTCAACTCTCTCTGTTGCTATGGCAACTTGGGCAGGTTGCTTAAAACCTTTGTGCCTCGGTTTCCCTACCTTGAAAGGAGACCTAATAATACCACCTACTCACAGGATTACTGTGAAGACTAAAGGAGGTCATATTAAAAAACTACTTAAAACCAAATAAACGGAACAGGCCCCCGCCTATAACTCCTCCATAAACTCCACACCTCAGTGGCCAAATTGAATCTCTCGCTGCTCTTTCCTTTAAGACCAACTTTCACACCCACTCTCCTACCCCACGGGTTTGCACACTTTGCCTCATGTGGGCACACAAATTCTTTGTCCCCTCAAGGCTCAGGTGCACCTTCCACTGAGCCCCTCCCGACCCCACACCGGGTCTGTCTGCCTTGGCACACACCTGGCCCCGGGCTCTGGAGCATGCCGGTCTCTGTTAGCGTTTGCAGCCTTGTCTCAGCCCCCACCAGCCGGTCAGCTTCTCGAGGACGGAGACGGGGCACTGGTTGGACCCGAGCACTGGCCACGCACAGGAAGGTGCTCGCTCCGTGGGGGGGGGGGGGGGGAGGCCAACTGGCCGCACTGACTCCAAACTCCCCAGGAGAGGGAGGGGCAGACGCTGTCCCCGAGGCTGCGGAGAGGGGGACCCAGGAGGTTCATTCTGAGTTGCTTACCCACTCTGTCATCTTTGAAAAGTTGCTTCATCTCTCTAAGCCTTAGTCTCCCGACCTATGAAATGGGCATTGCAACGCGCATCCAGGCTCCCTCCAATTCCTCGTGAGAACCAAAGGGATGATGAGTGTGCTCTGTGTCGGGCATGTATAGTCAGTCTTACTATTACTGGCATTTGCAAGATTCAGAGAAGAAAGAGGAGGTCTTCTCACAGGGTCCTGTGTCCTTTCTTCTCGTGAAAATGGGCTGAACGATCTTAACTTGGCGGCGTGGACTTGGCAGCCACCAGATCTGGGCCACCCTTCTCAGAAAGGCTGGGCCTTGTGTCCATCCGAGGCAGGGTGTCTCAGCCCTACACAGGACTCGCTTCCAGCACCCCTCCTCCAGGCACCCTTGCTCTGCTTGTGTCTCCTCCTCCACTCCCTCCTGGAGACCCCGCCCAGCCAGCACCTACCTCGGCTCAGCTGCCGCCGCTCAGCACCCCGAGTCCTTCGGCCGAGTAGCTCCCCACAGTGCCGCCCAGGGAGGCTGCAGCCCCAAAGAACCTGATGTCTTCGAGGAGCCCAGACTGGCGTCTGCAGTCTCAACTGCCGTCTCCAGAGCTGCAGAGACAAGCCCAGTGTTGAACGGGCCTGGCTCTGTCCCCTCCCCTTCCTTCCCCTTCCCCTTCCCCTTCCCCACATGCCTCGAAGCTCCTCCCAGAACACATCCTGAGGCTGCTCTGTGGTCAGCCATGGCCAGAGGTTCTTTTTTCCAATCAGGCGGAGGTAGGCACCCCAGGAGGTCCCCCTGCTGCTGACTGGGCAGAGATGCTGGGAGCCCTGACCTCTCCCCAGCTCCAGACACACCACGCACACCCACCTCCATCATCATCCAGATGGCCCTCGCGCACCTCCAGCGCAGTGTGTACGATTCTGGCTCATCATCGCCCCCTCTAAACCCACTTTCTGTCCCTCACCTCAGAATCAGAAATCTGAGAGCCAGCCTGAGCACCTGTCCCTCACCTCTGACATCTAAACAGCACCAAGTCCTGTCAAATCTCATGAATCGACCCCCTTTCCCACCCATCACTGCTTCATCGGGCCACCATGGTCTTTCTCCTAAATGGTGTCTCCCTCTAATGCTGTGTCCACCAGGCAGCCAGAGGTCTCCGATCACATTGCACTTTCAGCGTTTCCCCACCACCTTCACGAGAAGGGCCAAACTCCTTAGTGTAACCTGTAAGGACCTTCTTGATCTGGTCCTTTGATCTCCAACCTTGGGCTTTATCCCGTCACTCTGTCTCCTCCCAGAAGTCCTGAAAGACTGTAGTTCCTCAGTCTCCACCGCTGCTGCGGGATTCTCCTTCCAGCCCTTCTCCTGGCTCACTCTTCGTCATCCTTCCGATCAGCAGAGAAGAGCAAAGAAAGAAGTCAGAGTGGCAGGAGGAAAAATAGAGTGCCACAGAAGCTGGGGAGGAGAGAGAGGCAAGGAGATGACGGTCAACACCGTCAAAGATGGCAGAGAGGACACGGATGCGGAGGGTGGAAAAGCAACTGCTGACCTTGGCCATCAGGAGAGAGCGGTGCTGGGGAGCAGATTGCCTCCAAGGTGACATGTCTGCTAGCTTGTCATATTCTTTCTTTTTCTCACATTTTGAAGTCAAGCAATATTTGGGGGAATTTTCAACACTTTTCTAGACCTTTGTAAAGCTCACAGATGTCTCTGCTCTCATCAACGTGGCCTAATGGGTACATGGAGAGAGACAGATTGCAGACAGCATAGTCCGAACGTCTGGATTCAGCTATGCCTGAAACCCAGAAGCCTAGACCTACTCTTAAATTGTTCAATTCTGCGATCCAATACATTCCCCCCCACCCCCATGTTTAAGCCTGTTTGAATTAGGGGTTTGTCACTTGCAACCAAAGGAGAAGTCGTTTTTTTCTGCAAGGGCTTACATGCATTTTGTTTCATCCCCTCATTTCCCAGAAGAGGACATTTGGTAAAAAAAAAAAAAAAATGGCTCCAGAAATTGAAATAATTTACTCTAATGGCTCTGCTTCCCTCCCATATGTACTCTTCTGTCCCTGCATGTGACTGGAATCACATTCGATTTTGCATCTTTGCATCAGAGTTCTTAGGTCACGTCTGCCTCGCCCCTCGAGGCTTCCACAGTGACTTCTGGGAAAGCAGAGACTGGATCTTGTTCGTTATTCTACTCATCGCAGGACAAGAGAATGCTTGACTCATTAAATAAAGTGAATGGATGAATGGGCAAATGGAGGGAGGGAGGGAGGGAGGGAGGGAGGGAGGGAGGGAGGGAGGGAGGGAGGAAGGAAGGAAGGAAGGAAGGAAGGAAGGAAGGAAGGAAGGAAGGAAGGAAGGAAGGGAGAAATGAATAAGGACCAAGAATTCAGCCCCCGCAGGCTCAGGATGTAGCAGGGGCGGGCAGTGTGGCCATTCTTATCAGCTCTGGTCTAACTGAATCGGAAATCACAAGCTGCGCTGCCCCCGGCTGCCCAGCTCCTCTTCTCCTCAGCGGCCGTGTCTGGGGCTGCACTGGGCGTGGCAGCCTCAGGGGGCTGCTTGCTCCGAGCTGCCTCTGCAAGGAGCTGGGGCTTCCCCCCAGGCTCCCCCGTCTCAGCCTGGGACTGGGGGGTCTGCTCCGTAACTCGTCTTGGGGCTATGGCGTCACTGATCTCTGCAGACTGCTTCCGGTCCACCCTCATCTGTGTTTCCCAGAGAGCCCCATCCAGTCCTTCCGTTCAGACTTTTTCAATTACAGTTGACATTCAATATTATTCTGTACTGGTTCCAGGCAAAGAGCATAGTGGTTAGACAATGATACACTTTACAAAGTGGGCCCCCCAATATTTCCAGTACCCACCTGACCCCATAGCTATTACAATATTGTAATAACAATGCTGTACTTTACATTCCTGTGACTACTCTGTAATAACCAATGTGTACCCCTTAATCCCTTCACCTTTTTCACCCAGTTCCCCAACTTCTCCCCACCTCTGGCAACCATCAGTCTGTTCTTTGTATGTATGAGTCTGTTTGTGTTTTGTTTGTTCATTTATTTTGTTGTTTAGAGTCCACATGTAAGTGAAGTCATGTGGTATTTGTCTTTCTCTCACTGACTTATTTCACTTAGCATAATATTCTCTAGGTCCATCCATGCTCTTGCAAATGGTAAGATCTCATTCTTTTTTTTTTTAAATCCTCACCCGAGGGCATTTTTCCATTTTTTGTCCAGATAGAGTGGGAAAGAGAGAGAGAGAAAGAGAGAGAGACAGAGAGAGAGAGAGAGAGAGAGAGAGAGAGAGAGAGAGAGACAGAGAGAGAGAGAGAGACAGAGAGAGAGAAACATTGACGTGAAAGGGATACATCGAGTGGTTGCTGCCCACACAACCCAACCAGGGCTGGGGACAAACTGCAACCGAGGTACATGCCCTTAGCTGGAACCGAACCTGGGTCTCTCTGGACCACAGGCCGACGCTCTAACCGCTGAGCCAAACCAGCCAGGGCAAGATCTTATTCTTTTTTATGGGTGAGGAATATTCCATTGTATGTGTGTACTACAGCTTTTTCACCAGCTCGTCTATTGATGGGCACCTGGGTTACTTCCAGATCTTGTCTATTGTAAATAGCTGCAATGAAGATTGGGGTGCATGTATTCTTTTGAATTTGGGTTTCAGTGTTCTTTGGATATGTATCCAGAATAGGAATCACTAAGTCATAAGACACACTTCCATTTTTAATTTTTTGAAGTAACTCCACACTGTTTTTCGTAGTGTCCACGCCAGTCTGCAATCCCTCCAACAGTACATGACGATTCCCTTTTCTCTGCGCTCGGTCAACACTCGTTGATATATTGCTGACGGCCATTCTGACAGGTGCGAGGTGATATCTCATTGTGGTTTTAATTTGCATCTCTCTGACTAACCAGTGTCAGATTTTAATTTGGATTCATTTAATTGCAGGTCTTGAGAACTGAAAAGATCATCGCAGGGTACTTTGTCTACTTTTGATGAATTCTTGACTTATAAGGGCTGTTTAAATGTGTAGCTAGATTACCCATCAGAATAATTACACAAGAAATCAGGAGTCCTTAGTTATTTCTACTATCCAGTGAAAAACCTTGGTTTCTGCATACGGAATAAAACTCAGTGGTATTTGGTATTTTATTTATGTATTTAAAGTTTTCTTAATTTTTTTATTTTTATAAATTCTAGAAAAATGTCTTAACATTAATAAGGTATTTGGTATTTTAGATGTAAAAGGTCTTTTTGTGGGATTGTCCTGTGTTCAGCATACCTGGCCCTAGCACAGAATATGCTATAGTGTTCTCTAGTGGGTTGTGCAAATAAAATCGCCTCTGGCCCAGCTGGTGTGGCTCAGTGGTTGAGCATTGACCCATGCACCAAGAGGTCACGGGTTCGATTCCCGGTCAGGGCACATGCCCAGGTTGTGGACCTAATCCCCAGTGAGGGGCATGCAGGAGGCGGCCAATCGATGTTCTCTCTCATCGATGTTTCTCTCTCTCTCTCTCCCTTTCTCTCTCTCTAAAATCAATAAGGAAAAACATTTTAAAATCAATCAATCAATCACCTCTGCCTGTTTCCAAAGACTGCAGGTACTACCTCTGGCTGAGAACCGCTGTCTTCATTTCTTCTGCTTCTACCAGGCTCTGACTCGTTTGTGCATCCCCTGTTCCCAGATGTGAAAACTCCATCTTACATTTGTGAGATACCCCTCCCTTTGTGAAATGCTGTGCGTGTGTGTGTAAGCCCTTACGTGAGGAACTGGACACAGCCACTAATATTTAAGAACCTACTGTGCTCACGAGATTGGGTACCAGTTCTGCAGGGGTACATATTCTTGATGAGATTTGGAGTTAAAATCATAATGTCACCATATTAACCCAGCACTGATCTTCAAACTGAGAACAAAGTGAGGGTCTAGAGAGCGTAGGTCCACAGAGTGTGTCTCTGTCTGGGGAGCAGCCAGCCCTGTCCTGCTGGAGCCTGGGAATCCGGACAGGTGAGGGGAACGAGAGGGGAGGTTCTGTTTTATCCACATCCCCGTTCACAGCCCAATTATTTTGAGGCTAATTCCAGATATCACATTTTATTCTTAAATGCTTTCTCCAGAAGTGAAGAACTCTTTGGTGGTTTCTTTCTTTTCAATTTTTTTTTTTTTATGTAGAAACGATACATAACAAAATGTATCATCTTAACCATTTTTAAGTGTACAGTTCAGTGGTTTATTTATTTATTAAAAATTTTTTTTTCTTTATTGATTTTTAGAGAGAGAGGAATGGAGAGAGAGAAACATCAATGAGAGAGAACATCGATTGGCTGCCTCCTACACGCCCCCCACTGGGGATTAGGTCCACAACCTGGGCATGTGCCCTGACCGGGAATCGAACCCGTGACCTCTTGGTGCATGGGTCAATGTTCAACCACTGAGCCACAGCGGCCAGGCTACAGTTCAGTGGTTTAAAGCATATTCACACTGTTGTGCAACTGTTACCACCACCCATCTCCAGAATTCATCTTGTGAAACTGAAACTCTGTCCCCCTTATACAGTGACTCCCCATTCCTTTCCCCCCAGCTCCTGGCATCCCCCTGTCTCCTTTC